AACATACAGATGGCCAACAGACACATGAAAAGATACTCAACATCACTCATCATCAGAGAAATGCAAACCAAAACTACAACAATATCCCCTCACACCTGTCAGAATAGCCAAAATCAAAAACACAAGATACAAGTGTTGGCTAGGATGTGGAGGAAAAGGGTTCCCCTTGCACTGTTTGTGGGAATGCAAACTGATAGAGCCACTGTGGAAAAGAGTATGGAGATTCCTCAAATAAATTAAAAATAGAATTACCATATGATCTAGTCATTCCACTACTAGGTACTTACCCAAAGAATATGAAAACACTAACTTGAAAAGATATGTGCACCCCAATGTTTACTGCAGCATTATTTACAATAGCCAAATTATGAAAGCAACTCAAGTGTCTATTAAGAGATGAATAAAGATGTGGTCCACAAACACATACACACACAATGGACTATCAGTCATAAAAAAGAATGAAATCTTGCCATTTGCAATAACATGCATGGATCTAGAGAGTATAATGGCTCAGTGAAATAAATCAGAGAAAGACAAATACCACATGATCTTACTCATGTGGAATTGAAGAATCAAATGAACAAAGAAAAAAGGAGACAAACCAAAAACCAGATACTTAACTCTAGACAACAAACTAATGGTTATCAGAAGGAAGATGGCTGTGGAAGTGGAGGGAGGGGAAAATGAGTGAAACAGATCAACGGGATTGAAGAGCACACTTATCATGATGAGCACTGAGTAATATACAGAAATTGTTGAATCACGATCTTGTACACCTTAAAAAATATAACATTGTACATAAACTACACTGGAATTAAAATTAGGGAAAAATATTTGCTGGAATACAGCAACAATATCTCTTTTGTTCGCTCACCTACCACACTTCTTGGAAAATTCAATTTTATACAATAAAATGTCATCCACAGAGTGAGAGCTGATGATTTCCCTGGAAAAATCACTCCTGTGAGGTAACCTCTAGGAGACATTCTTTCAAGCTCATAGAATGCATGAATTATAAAATTCACTGCCTTTATGTTTTGGAGCCCAAGAAGTCAAGAACCATCCTAAGCCATACATCAAGTATGGGTTAAGGAGCGACACATTAACCCTTTCTTCAAAGATGCTTGTAGTGTTTTCCGAGAAGCGCTGTCTACTTCCTCTCTCATTTTCCCCACCTTACTCTTCTTCCTTTTACATATGACTGTCATTTGTTTCAGGACCAGACATCAGCAGTCAGCTTGTATTTTCTGTTGCTAGTATTCTTTATAACACTAGATGATTGTTGAGTTCACTGAACTGCAAATATCAGGGGTGCTTCTTTTGTATGGCACATCAGATGAAGACATCAGGCATTCAGGTGGAACCTCTTCGAAGCCCGTCCTGAGTATAACTCTGTCCCCCACATCCCTAATCCATGTAACCAATGATGGCATTTTGATCAGATTAGAGAGATCTTGGAGTAAGCATCCTACATTTATTTTTCTGGTGTCCAGTCTGTAAGTGGCTGCTTGCCTACGTAGGAGTAACAGGAGAATATCATTTGCCTGTCCTACTCCCCAAGTAATTCCTCAAAGCCCAAAGGCTCATTCCCTGGTACTCACAGCTTCCTTGTGACAGTCAAATAATGATGTGAGACTTTGTTTCAGAAGAAACAAGGATTACTATCCCTGCCCTTCCCATCAGGGATGGGGCTGTCTGTGGGAGAAATGGATAAGATAGTAGTATTTTACAAATACTTTCCATGAGCTCTATTTGCCTCAGGACTCCTCCTTCTGTAGATTCTTTTTTATTCCCCCATTTGGCAAAGCCTACTTAACGATCTGGGCTTCACTGAAACCAGTTGCCTATTTCAATCTCTCCAGAAAATACTAGATGGCAAAATATCAGAAGGCTAAAACATAACAAAATTACATTACACGTTGAACATTTTTTTTTAAGTTTTATTTTCCTTAAAAATCGTCTTGTGAAATAAGCAGAAAATGCGCTGTTCTGTGAGGGTGAACTGAAGGGACTAATATCACTATGTCTTTTCTTTGAGATCTGCCCCTCGTGGAGATAAGCCCTAGGAGACACTGAAAAGAATTGGTCTTTCAGGGCAGTACCAACCATGGTACCTGGGCTAGCACCTCACTAACTGCCACAGAACCACAATCTTCAGAAATGTCCTCAGATCACAACAACCTCATCTACAGTATATGTTTCTGTCTTCTATCAAGAAGCAAATCACTTTTCACCTATAAAGATGTCATCAGAGAGGCAGGCAAGATGCCATCCTGGGGACATAGAGAAGCTGCCAACATAGGAGGCTATTTTTGCCATCAAAGTGAGAAAGAAGAATTTCTGAAACATAACCATAGTAATGACAATACCAGGATGAGTTAGAATTACAAGAGAGAATTAAAAGGGCCTAGTGACCAATTCCGGTTGCAGGTTGAGAGGTAGTTATTAAAAATGATTCTGAGATTCTGTATTTGTTAATGTATGGATATTAGAGACACAGACCAAGAAGAAAGCAGGAAGGTGCAAGCCTGAGAGAGAGGAAAATGTTGAGTCTGTTTGTGGATATGGGGAGTGTGAAGCCCCTGCAAGACATAAAAGAGGATGCATGTTGGGCAGTTTTAAATATGGTTCTGAAGTTCCTGATATGTAAACACAGCTCACAATGCACAGTAACCAGTTAGAACTGTCACTGTGAACAATACGCCCAACTGAAAAAGCATAGTGTGGGAGGAGCTGTCCATAGGAAAACCAACATTTCAGGCAAGAGGAGAGAGGAAATATTAAATTGGTTTTGCTTAATATGAATCAATAATTAATATTTCCCATAAATATTTAATAGGTTTCTAACCATATTGCCTGAATTATTTAAAAAAAGAAGTAAAATAAATGTGAGAAGTTACACTTTTCAAAAATGGCAACATAAGGCAGTAAAATGCCAGGCTACAATATGATGAAACAGACCGCAATCATTAAGCATACAGCGAAAGAAAAAATAAGCAGAATGAGGCCTAATCATTAATGGCTAACTTGCAAAAATAAGGCTGCATACCACCCCCACATAGAATTTATGAATAATATGCAGATTAAAGAAGCAGCCAATGAAAATGAGTGTTATGATATTTCTAGGACAATTCAGAGAAATGTTTCAAATTATTTTGTTAGTTGCTGTCTCACTGTTTTTTAATGCACACCATAAAGAAAAGAGGGGCAAGATTACATCCAGCATCTTTATGTCTCTTGATGATACTGGTAGAGAATCTTTGATTAAAAACAGCAATCAAAGCACCACTAATGGCAGATGTTTTAGATCACTGTGGGCTTAACTAACTAGTACCATTTTTTTTACCAGTGTAATTGTACCTATGAACTTTCAAAGATGAATACAGAAATAATACCTCTGGCATCTTAACATACTATGAAGAATCAAATAATTAAATATTAACTATACTTACTTAAAACCAGAAACATGCATTTTAGAAAAAAATGCTTTATTTTTAACCATTATAATCTCAGAGTATGTGAGTCTCTTTAGAATGCAATAGCAGTTCAGGAAATAGGTTTATATAGTTAAAGATCTCAACTTCTTTTTATTAAGCTTTTTATGTTAATTCCAATACAGTTAACATACAGTATTATATTAGTTTCAGGTGTACAATACAGTGAATTCGACAATTCTATTCATTACTCAGTGCTCATCATAAGTGTATTCTTAATCCCCTTCACTTATTTCACCCATTTCACCACCCACCCCAACCACCTCCCCTTAGCTTCCTTAGGTTCCCATTTCCTTCCACACTGAGTACAGAACTAAATTAGTAGCAATATATCTAGTGCCTGATCATTTGCTTCAAACACATTTTATGAACTATTACCATGTAACACCAGTCCAGAAGCATTTAAGTTTCCAGGCCTGGGGAAGCTTTGCATTATTTTGGTTTACTTATTTTCAACTGCTTTCTATCAGGAACTTGGAAAAGGTTAAATCAAATGTCATTACCCTTTTACTGCAAAAACCACGAATTCTTCATAATGCACTTAATTTTTTTTAGAAAGTTGATACTCTTAAGAACTTCCCTCAAAAATAATAAATAACGTGCTTTTAGAACCTGATGCTTTTACAAAAGACAAAATGTTTTTATGTTCCTAAATTCAAGATGCACTGGAAAATGTCACTTATTGTTGTGCCAAAAAGAAAGTCTGTGTATAACTAAGATATCACCATTTTTACATGTTCCAAATTCTCTCTATAAAGGAGAACCTATGAAAGGACTAAAAGGGAAAAAACAGACTTTATCCCCATTAATGATATTGATGTTTCTTGAAGAAACAAGGGTGAACACAGTAAATTTGTGTTTATTAATTATTTTAGACCTGAAACCACAGAAGAAGAATGTGCATTCCATATTCCTCTCATGTGGAAGAAACACTCCTGGCTTCTGCCTCCCTCCTTCAGAGGATATAAGACAGCCCTTTTTGGTTAATGAGTTTGATGAGTTCAAGTAACAATGTGCTCACTTCAGTCCTTGTTGCTTTTTCTTTTCTTTTCTGTTTTTGAGGAGCTGGCTGCCCATTTGATTCTCTTACCCCATTCACAGGGATAAGGTATGTGGTGTTTAGCAATGTCAGTAACTGTGGGCTACATTTGCTATTGCACATCAAAAACAAGTTCTCCAAAAATTTGATCATTAAAGAAGTTGACATTTTGACAACTGAGCATGTCAATATTTATGAACAAAACAGTTTGTCATATATTCAATAAATATTTTTATCTAACTCTCATAGGTGCTTTTAGAATGCTCATGTTAATGACAAACTTTTTCACTGTATTACATAAAAGCAAACTATTAAAAATAATTATTATTAATGTGGTCATTTCCCCCTTAATGTCTAGGAAACTTGGACTATATTACTTGTAGAGGAGCATGGATTAATGTAATTAAACTAATAATTAAAATGTGGTCTTACTTCAAAACAATATAAGCATACTAAAACAAATTTAAATAATAGATTTTTTTTTTGTCATTCAGTGTAACTTTATTTACTATGTATTGCACATGATTCGAGGTCTTTAATTTCTAACCACCAAAGGTTCAAAGGACTATTTTTACCATGAAGTTTAACATTGACATCAGTGAATTCATTTATTCATGTGTTTTTTTTTAATTGTAAACATCTGAATTATTCACATTGCCATAGATCCTGAACTTGTAAGCGTGGACCATGCACAAGCTGGCAGCAAGCCAGGAAGCCACTCTGCAAGCAAACAGATACTCTGCATAAGGAGAAAAGTCATAGCACAACATTGAATGTCCAACCTAAGTCATCTCTGAATTATACATATATTGAACTTCTTAATTCATATAGTATCTGGAACTCAACTGGTTGGTTGGTGATGGGGTTGACCTGATTTCGGGAGAATTCCTCCTGGAAGGATTAAGGACAGAGGGGCTCAATCTTTCTTTTTAGTTGCTTGCTCCTCCCCAGCACCTTCGTCTTTTTTCTCCTCCTCCTCCTCGGCTTCTTTGGTTTCTTCTCCTTCTTCACCTTCACCTCCTTCCTCTTCCTCCTTTGCCTCCTCAGATTCTTCCTTGGCAGCTTCTTCCTCTCTGGCTCCTTCCTCTTCAGCAGCCTCTTCTTTCTCCTTCTCCTCCTTCTCCTCCTCCTCGGCTTCTCCTTCAGAGGCGGGTTCGTCCTTGGCTTCCTCGGCCTTTGCAGCCTCAATGGTCTCCTCCACCTCAATCTGCTCCTCCTGGACGTGGCTGGTGTAGTAAGACGGGAAGGAGCGGGCAGACATCAAGTAGGAGCTGGTCTGTAACCCGCCATAGGCAGATCGGCCAAAGACCTGAGATCTCTGGGAGTAGCCGCTGGCTATGCTTCCGACGCTGGTGAAACTGAGTCGGGTCTCCTCACCTTCCAAGAGTTTCCTGGAAGCTGCAATCTCAATGTCCAAAGCCATCTTCACATTGAGGAGGTCTTGGTATTCTTTAAGGTATCGTGCCATTTCACTCTTCGTGGTTCTCAATTCATTTTCTAATTTGTTGATTGTGTCCTGCATAGCACTAATATCGGCGTTCTGCTTATCCTCCAGCTCCTGCAGCTGCTTCTCCAGCGCTTCGTTCCTTGAACCACTCTTCGGCGTTCTGCATGTTCTTGGCAGCCAGCTTCTCGTACTGAGCACGGATGTCCTTGAGGGCGGCGGAGAGGTCGGGCTTGGAGGACACGTCCATCTCCACGGAGATCTGAGCGTACTCTAAATAATAGATTTTTTTATTTTCTTCCTGTATTTGGAGTTTAGAAATGGAGCATGCATCTTTAGAATTTTTTTTTTTAATAGCAAGCTATCAGGCAAATTCTAAAGATTAACACCAGTTAAATGATTATCATTTTAAATGAAAAACTATATAGCAATAAGGACATTCTGCATTTTATAAATTACCTTTTACATCTTTGTTTTAAACTGATAACAAAAGTAAATATTACAAGATGAGAATTAAAATGAATATTTTATAAGCTAGTAAGTATGAGTAATAGGTTAATTAGATTTTTAAGTATATTACCTGAAGCTGGCAAAAATCTAAATTTGAGCAACTCACTATACCTAGATAGCTAGATTTCGATACAGCATAATTTTTAAATACTATACACAGCCAGTATTTATTACTATATTCATGCATTTCAGATAAAAGAATAGAAAGCACTTTACACAATGAGAATTAATGATCAGCACAGAGGTATGTTGGCTATTTCACAGCAAATTAGGGCATATAAATGAGAGAATGGTTTGGCTTATTTGCATTTCCATAAGAAATTTCTAAAAAAAATCAATTGATCTGTCCAGCTTTAATGATGAATTCTATATACAACAAGTTTGCCTCGTAAATGCAGCAGTTATAGCTACAGAATTGTTTGGCACAATTAACAAGAATGAATTAAGCGTTACCATGTATCATCAATCGCACTACGCTCTACACTTTGAAATTTTCACCACCTTCACAGGTGGAAGCAACTCAGCATCCTGCTCCTACACCTCTTTTCTAAATCTCCTCCAGCATCACTGCATTTTAATCCATCTGAGCTAGACTAAATGCAGAGGATTTGGCAAATTCCTTTATGAAGCAGTCACCTGGGCCAGGGAACATTCCCTTCTGTCCAGGATACAGGACTGTGCTACCAGGGCATGCATAGCAATCCTATCATATTTTGACCATGTTTAATCTACTACCTGAACAGTTCTACTCAGCAGTCATTCCTTATGCTATGGACCCTTTGTTTTTTTGAATGACTCAGAGATTTTGCTCATCACTAAAGTTTATATATGGCAGCTGTAAAAGTAGGTTGCAGTTTACTCCATAGCTTTCTGTCCTCCAAACATTTAGATAGCTCAATGAAGTATCCTAGCTTGAGGACTCCCTGTATTAAGACATGTACATGTTTGGAATCAGAAGCTTATCATTTGGAATAGCTCATTTATGTTCATCATGCAGCCTATCTAAGCTTCATTTTTGTGTGACTGTTCTACTTTCCGAAGGTGAGAGTCACACACGAGCCATTCTCTGTGTATCCACACTCCCCTCACTGCCCGCCTCACACCTTCATCCATTCTAAAGGGGCACAGATGAAAACCACAACCACCTGAGGATTAACAGGTACACCCCTTCCCAACAGTCCTTCCATTCACCTGTGGCTACCATGCTTGCTCATTCGACAGAAGAATGAAAGAGCAGTCAATACGGACAGTTTCTGACATGTTATCAGTGAAATGACACATAATTTTATATTCCCCACGTTCCATAGTCACTTGGCTACTGCTTCTAGTTGATTCCTTTATGGCAGCATCACAAGCAAGCCCTATGCTTTTTTGAAAGTTGTCCAACTTATTTATATTTGTTGAAAGACAACCACTAACAGCAATAGGTTATTGTTTGATTGAATCTTTCTCTTCTCAACTAGAAAAGAATTAATTTTCAATAGTCTACCTTACATCCATAACTTGAACAAAGCATGGTTGGACTTCTCAATGATCTTTCAACATAATTCTTATAGAAGCACACTCACTGGCTAGAAGGTATAGGGGATAGGAACTTTCTCTCATATCACTAGGCAAAATTATAGTGGTTATTTTTATAACTTTTCACTTTCACAAAAAGTTACTTGAAGTTCTCCAGGTTTGAAACATTTTTTTAAATTTCCTAAGTACAAATTATTTTAATGTACTATTTCAAAATTTCCCTCAAAAATGAATGAGATGGATGAATTATATTTACACAAATATCTTCTGAAATAATGAATAGCATTTAAGACTTTTCTAATTTTCCATAAAAAATCTTTCTTCCTCAAATACCTTCATAAAACCTATATTTTCTGATGACTAAGAGCAAATGAAATATATGATGGCAGTGTAATAAAGCTGAATTATGGCTTTAGACAATAACATTGCTAGTGTGCAATACAAGTTTAGCAGCCTAGTAGGACTGAAATGTTTCCACATTAAAAAAAAAAAACCTATATTTTTTTTAGTTGTACTAAAAATGAGAAAATAGTTCCAAGTTAGAAAGCCATTGGATTTTATGTTCTTTACACAAAGTAAGAATTTAATGTGTCAAAACTTAGAATTTTACAGTTTTGTCATTCTAAAATCAAGAAAACACTACAACATAATTCAGAGCATACCAAAATAATTCAAAGTATCAGTAGTATGTTGAAATCTTAAAATGCCTTGTTATTCATTATGTCATTAAGATGAACAAAGGGACTGATAAGGGCAAACCAGTGATCAACGATTAAAAAAAAAAAATCAAAGGACAGTTTTAGTTTTAACATTGAGGTAGAACTAAGGAGGGGGTAAAAAGACAGCATCTAGGATCAGATATAATTTCCCGGCTTTAAACTCTTTCCCTCCCTACAATATAAAGGAAGTTTTTGTTTTTATCCGAGGCGTGATTATTGCTAATTGAAACAAAGGGTAAATACAGACTGGTGTTCTAGACTCTGAGCAAATGAGATTATCAATTCAGTCCCTAAGGACATTTAGACCACAGGGACAAACTGCAGGAGCAGTAAGAGGTAAGTGGCTTCAGAATTCTATAGGGAAATTACCTTGTTTTTCAGATTTGAATCAGTAGTCTAACAATGGAATATATATGTATTAAAAAATAAGGGAACGAAAGAGGTGAAAAAAAAGAAAAAAGAATGTATTTTATAGAGCAAATTTATTTATGAGGCAAGTCATGTGCTGGATGCGTTTTGTAAACCACATTAAAAGAAACTTCAATGCCTCTTGGGAGGTTATTCACTATTCCCAAACTAGACTCATTACTTCACCTTCTCTTGGCACTTTCCTTATCCTGAAGACAAACCCTTTCTATTGCTTATTCCTTAGTAAAGTACTCATTGTTATGGGTTGAAATGTGTCCCCCAAGAAAACATATGTTGGTGTCCCATAGTACCTCAGCATGTATCCTTATTTGGAAATCAAGTCTTTACCTAGGTAAGAACGTTAAAATGAGGTTGTTATGATGGACCCGAACCCAAAATGACTGGTGTCCTTATAAATAGGAAAAATTTAGACACAGAACACATGCAGAGAAGAAACATCATGTGAACATGAGGGCAGAGATTGAGGTGATACTTCTATAAGCCAATAAATGCCAAAAATCACCAGCAAACCACAAGCCAGTAGAAAGGTATGGAAGGAATTCTCCCTCACAGTTCCTGGAAGGAACCAACCCTGCCTCTGTGAAACTAAAAATTTCTGTTGTTTAAGCCACTTAATTTGTGGAACCCTGTTACAACAGCCCTAGGAAGTTAATACACTCCCTGAATATTTATAAAATTTGAGAAAAATTGGTCTTCACAACTCCATTGGATTTACATTATTGTCCCCATTCTAGAAAGAACAAAGCTGATCTTCAGTGATTTTAAAAAATATATTCATGGTCAAATAATTCATAAGTCTTAAAGCAGGGGTGTCATGTAAGAAGATCTCCATAATGCAGGAGATCATGCCTTTACTAACACAGCTCTTCTTCAATACCAGTATCAAACCATCAGGATAAAGATGGTAAGGGAAGTGAGGACTTGCCTAAGAAAAATACGTGCGGAAAGATGGGGTTTGGGGCCTGTGATGCAACATGGAAAGAGACTTGCAGGACTGTTTCCTAAAAATAACTCCATTGGATTACACACAGAGGAGAGAACAAAGATTATAAGAGATGGTGTGACAGGGACTAGGAATGAATGTGAATTCGTATCATTGTGGGGTATATTGTAATTCTCATAAAAATGCTCCATTTAGAAAATGTATTCTGAAAGCCAACTGAGAAAGAGCTAAAATTATTTAAATATATAAGTTGCAATTAGAATATCAAAATTTTAATTAGCTTACAAAAATTCAGTACTGACTTAGATATAAGACCCTGGACATTTGAGGGAAAAGAGTAAGCCAACAAATATGTAAGTGTATTAGAATATTTATGCCAATGCCTTTGGCTTAATATAATAGATTAAACAAGTGACCGTTTTTCTACAAAGTTAAAACACTTTATATTATCCTGATCTGATGTGAAAATATATAGTGTTTTGAAACTTATTTGTCAACAGAGACAGCTCTGATTTCTGAAGTACTCTAAATGAAAATGCTTTTGAAACTATCCAGTACTTTGCAGATATTGTGCATTATTTGTTTCTCTAGAATCTAGAATCTACCTCTTGCTCTCCTCCCCTAATATTGCTCATTCTCCTAATAATGCATGCACAAAATCCAGAATGGGTTTTGTTTCCTCCAAACATTCAGTTACTTAGCAATGTCCACTTACTCTTCATCATCTTCCTATATTATATACCCCAACCTCTTTTTTTACCCCTAAAAAAGGAACTTTGCCTTTTATGAGACTTTTAAATTATTTTTTAAATGTATTACTGCTCCCAGCTTCCTTATCACACTCACCATTCTCATTACTGCTTGACTAAAGTTCCTAAAATAAAGCCTTGCCTACCTTCTCCTACTGAATTTTTTGTGATTCCCATAATCTTTCAGGATAAAACCGAAAAATCTGATCTTTACGTTTAAGATTCCTCACATGAGCAATTTCAAATAATTCATCTACTCAGTGTTCCAAAAATAAATGGTACATTTCCAACCTGTGATTTTGTGCCCATCATCACCTAGAACACACTTGGAAATTTCTATCATTTCCTATAATGAAAAGTATGGGAGATTACTTAACAAAAAATATTAGAATGTAAACCTACCAAAGGGCTTAGCTCAGAGTTGTAGCTT